TCAGTTGCTGCAGGTGTTCGTTTTGCTGAGTGAGACGAGGTCGTGACGTTCGAGGCTACAAAGTAAAAGTCAAGAGTCTGAGATTCCCCAGGGGAGATCTACGTGAGGCCTCTGGGGACCAAGTGCGTGAGACCTGAGCCTGTTGCTAGCAAGCCTTGTGGCCCTCTGGGGGCCCGCCAGCCTAGCCTCTCACTGTTTTCCTTACCCTGTTTCCTATCGCTCCGTCTCCGTGCACTGTTTATGCCCGTCGCCGTATTTGGGCTCTCAAGGCCGGCCCTTTTAACTTTAGCTATCGTACTGGGCTCGACTGAGCCCCCGCGAACAGCAAGTTGATTTGGTCCGCTAGCCAGCGGGAATGCAAAAGCATCAGATCAGCAATCAGAATATGCTATGCTGCGCTATGCTATGCTAGGCTAGGCTATGCTATGCTATCCATGCAATGCTATGCTATGCTATGATATGCTGCGCTATGCCATGCTATGCTATGCTATGTTATGCTGTGCTGCGCTATGCTATGCTGTGGTATGCTATGCTGCCCTATGCTATGCTATGCTATGCTATGCTATGCTATGCTATGCTATGCTGCGCTGTGCTATGCTAAGCTATGCTGCGCTATACTGTGCTATGTTATGTTATGTTATGCTGCACTATGCTATGCTGCGCTATGCGATGCTATGCTATGCTATGACATGCTATGCTATGCGAATGCTGCGCTGCGCTGCGCCAAGCTAAGCTGAGCTAAGCTAAGTTAAACTAAGCTAGGCTAGGCTAAGCTAAGCTAAGCTAAACTAAGCTAGGCTAGGCTAAGCTAAGTTAAGCTATGCTAAGATGAGATAAGCAACGCTAAGCTAAGGGGGCGCAACTGGGGGAACCGCGGGGCGGATACTGGGGGAACCGCCCGGGGCGCTTTCCACTGCCCGGCCCCTTTAAACCCAGAGAGTAAGAACCCTGCTAGGCAGAGCCTAGGTATGGAAAAAAACAGCCCCCCATAGGCCCCCGAGAGCTCTCCTAATAGTCCCCAAAGAGCATCCACGAGGACCCCGACCCACAACCCAAGGACGCTGGCGGGATGGGCCGAAGGCCATTCCATATTGTACCACATAGGTTGCAACACATAAGGTGCACAACAAATATGGCACCACGTATATAGCACACCATACATTGCACAACATCGATTGCACAAGGTAGACGTACATACAAACATCCATCCATCCATCCATCCATCCGTCCATACATACATACATGCATTACATACATCCATACATACATACATATATGCATGCATGCATACATACATACATACTTTCATACATTCATACATGATATATATATACACATATATATATAGCTATATGTATATGTATACATGTGTATATATATACAAGAACCATCGCGCGCACTTCGCGCGCGCTCAGGTTCTAGCAGGCCCCAGGCCTTGACGAGCTCACTGATCCACGAAAGTAGTGGATGAAGAAGCGTCCATAACGCTAAACGCATCATGGGCAATGAGAACGCCATGCGTGTCAATCCGTGTTCCTGAAAGTTGGAGAAGATGATTGCGTAGGGGGCGGAGGCCTGATGAATCGGGTTCCCAGAAGGTCTTCTGGAAACATGGTTTTTGGGGCGTCTTAGGGAGCCTCTTGGGGCGTGCCGTCGTCGTCGTCGTCGTCGTCGTCGTCGTCGTGATGTCGTCGTCGCCTCTTGGGGCGCGCCGTCGTTGTCGTCGTCGTCGTCGTCGTCAACTTCGTCGTTTCGTCGTCTTCGTCGTCGTCGTCGTCGGATGGACGCCTCCCAAAATCCATCCAGCACTTCTGGACCTCCTCTGGAGGACCTCCTGGCCCCATCCGTAGGACTGGCTGAAACCGATCACTAAGTCACAGACTCGGGCCCCAGCGTCGAGAGAGGCCAGAACACGTCCCGGGTGCTACCATACAGTTCAAAAGAGCCCTTGGGGCAACTTTGTGCGAAACGATCCGAGGAGGGCCGCGAGAAGGCGATAAGTCATGTTCCCAATCAAATGGCACGCGTGCTCTGGCTCTTGCACATATGAGGGGAGAAGGAGGAGGAGACGCAGATGGGGGGATCGAGGAAACAAAGAGGAAGAGGAGGAGAAGGAGGAGGAAGAGGAGGAGGAGGAGGACGAGAAGGGGCAGGTTGGGCCAGGGCGCCCCACTGCTGAATCAGCGGTTGTCGATTGGGACCTGCTCGAATGAGCTTTTCCCCAAACAGCTTGCTGAACGGGGTGCTGTTGTGATAGAAGCTAACTCTGGCCGAAGGAAGTGGAAGCAAGGACATCCTCACAAAAATTTGATGGTCCGGGCCGTTTCGCTTGAGACATCCTCACAACTCTCGTTTCTGAGTTGGCCGGGATTGGCCGTTTCGCCTGAGACATCCTCGAAAAGTTGCGCTCCAGGACGCCGCGCGAGAGGTGGTCCGGGCCGTTTCGCTTGAGACATCCTCGAAACTCTGAGCCCCGAGGTGCCGTGCGAGAGGTGGTCTGGGCCGTTTCGCCTGAGACATCCTCGAAACTCTGAGCTCTGAGATGCCGCGCGAGAGGTGGTCCGGCCCGTCTCGCCTGAGACATCCCCGCAACTTCTGAACTCTGAGATGCCCTGCGCGAGGTGGTCCGGCCCGTCTCGCCTGAGACATCCTCGCATCTCTGAGCTCTGAGATGCCGTGCTCATGGTGGTCCGGCCTGTTTCGCACAAGACATTCTCGCAACTCTGAGGTCCCGGATGCCGCGCAAGAGGTGGTCCAGCCTGGGGGCCCAGAAGACCACATGTTACATATCCCCCCTGGGACCCTGGGAGCCCGCCTGAGACATCCTCGAACTTCTGAGCTCTGAGATGCCCTGCGCGAGGTGGTCTGGCCCGTCTCGCCTGAGACATCCTCGCAACTCTGAGCTCTGAGATGCCGTGCGCAAGGTGGTCCGGCCTGTTTCGCACAAGACATTCTCGCAACTCTGAGCTCCCAGATGCCGCGCAAGAGGTGGTCTAGCCTGGGGGCCCAGAAGACCACATGTTACATATCCCCTCTGGGACCCTGGGAGCCCCAGGAGGCCCCAGAGAACTTCAGGAGGCCGCAGGACGCCCAGGACAGGCCCCAGGGGTCTCCAGGAGATTCCCAGGAGGCTCCCAGGAGGCACCCTATCAGAACATGTCAAGTTAATACACATCCGGTGTCGATTCGTTGATTTTCCCTGCTCTTGTGGCCCCCCCCTCGGCTACAGGTTAGATATTCCCCCCTGGGAGCCCCAAGAGGCTTCAGGAAACCCCAGGTGGAATTCAGGAGGCTACAGGAAGCCCAGGAGGAAGCCCCAGGAGGTCCCCAGGAGGCCCCAGGAGGCACCAGGAGGCCCCCGCAACTCGGAGCTCTGAGACGCCGCGCTCGAGGTGGTCCGGCCCGTTTCGCCTGAGACTTCCTCGCAACACGTTTCGCCCGAGACACCGGTTGGTCCGGCCCGTTTCGCACAAGACATTCTCGCAACTCTGAGCTCCCAGATGCCGCGCAAGAGGTGGTCCAGCCTGGGGGCCCAGAAGACCACATGTTACATATCCCCCGTGGGACCCTGGGAGCCCCAGGAGGCCCCAGAGGACGCCCAGGACAGTCCCCAGGGGTCCGCAGGAGATTCCCAGGAGGCTCCCAGGAGGCCCCCTATCAGAACGTGTCAAGTTAATACACATCCGGTGTCGATTCGTTGATTTTTCCTGCTCTTGTGGCCCCCCCCCCCAGCCATTTTGGGGGGCCCCGACGGCCACATGTTAGATATCCCCCCTGGGAGCCCCAAGAGGCTTCAGGAAGCCCCAGGTGGGGTCCAGGAGGCCACAGGAGGCCCAGGAGGAAACCCCAGGAGGTCACCAGGAGGCCCCAGGAGGCCCACGCAACTCGGAGCTCTGAGACGCCGCGCTCGAGGTGCTCCGGCCCGTTTCGCCTGAGACTTCCTCGCAGCACGTTTCGCCCGAGACACCGTCGCAACTCTGGGGTCCGAGATGCAGCGCGCGAGGTGGTCCAGCCCGTTACGCCTGAGACATCCTCGTAACTCTGGGCTCCGAGATGCCCTGCGCGAGGTGGTCCGGCCCATCTCGCCTGAGACATCCTCGCAACTCTGAGCTCTGAGATGCCGTGCGCAAGGTGGTCCGGCCCGTTTCGCACAAGACATGGACGTCCCGAGATCTTTTCAAGGCGGGGACACAGATGAACGAACGGCTGCGCGTCCTTGCGCTCAGCTGTGAGGCACCGTCAACCACAGAGAGAAAAATGAGACAGAGCATGAGTGTGCACGCATGCTCGAGAGGGCTCGGGGGGCGGGGGACCAGAGAAGCTATGCGATGCAAGAAGGAGCGGAGCCAAAGGGGCGACATAATGAAAACCCCTCTTGACTTCCTTCACGTGCAAGCACAAACCAGGACGTCCCGAGATCTTTTCAAGGCGGGGGCACAGATGAACGAACGGCTGCGCGTCCTTGCGCTCAGCTGTGAGGCACCGTCAACCCAAGCCGTTCCTAATAATGTTTACTGGGTGGGTGGGCAAGGGTGATTATATAACGACGCGCGCCATTCACTCAAAAGGACTTTAGCGAGTTTCCTATTGAGGGCTGGCGGATAGGCGGCAGCGATAGCGGTCCATTTCGCACCATTCGGGGCGTTGCCCTCCAGCACGATGTGTGGACGGCCAGACTTGTTACAAATGCCATTGATCTGACCACGCCGACGATCGAGGCAGCAACTATCCTGAACATCTATGTTCAGACACAAAAATCTTGTTCGTTTGCGCCAGCGAGCCCCCTCCTGACACTGATCGAGACATCTTACAACAGCCCCCCGTTCTATAACCCCCAGAACCTCTCTCGTGGCAAAAACGCGTGAATTCACAGGATGCTCAAGTATGCAGGGGCCTTTGAAATTCTCGCAACATCTGATGACGCTCAGCGCGGCCCGCATGGTCTTATTGCCCGATGCCAGGCGAGCCAGCTGTTTTGTACTCAGAAGATGCCGCGGAAGTCACCAGGGCTGCGATGCCGAGCGGATGGCTCCCACTCGGTCGGCAGCGGTGGTCCAGGGCCCACAAGGCGGCGCCAGCATCGCGGCCAAGACGCGGCCTGCGGCGATGTCGGAGCACAAGCCCCGCAGGACCTTCCGTCGGGTGAGGTCGCCGCCCGGCCCGTGCAGCGTGTCCCAGAACCTGGCTGGCACGCCCATGGCCATTGCGGACCGACCCGCGCCTCCTTTGCCACTGAAGCAGTCGGCCACATATTGGCCAGTCAGACGCAGCCGAGCTCCCGCAAGTCGAGCGGCGAGGCGCGATCCGAAATGATGTCCGCGAGCTGAACCCCGCAGACCAGGAACACGTTTTGCACCGTGCGGCTCCGAGTTGACCACGTGGCTGCCAGGCGCGCGTGCTTCTCGTAGCGGACGACGCTGCGCTTGGCTCTCCACTGCCAGCGTGTCTGCACCTCGGCCAGCCGCCCCCACCTCCTCGCCATGCATACCAAGGCCCTTGAAAGGCAAACCTGATACGGCACCAACTCGGCTCTTGCTGGCAGGTCTTGGAGACGTAGGCTGAACCTCCTGCGGTACTCTGGGCACGTGAAGTTCCACGGGTACTCGGGGTGCTTCTCCTTCTTCATCTGACACAGCACAGGGCCCAAGAAGCGCATCCAGGGCGAGTCTGACTCTAGCGACACCTTCACCAGGCCCGCTCTTCCCCACGGGCCTTCCTCCTCCGGGGAGAGCCTCAGGGTCCAGAAACTCCAGCCCGGGGGGAGGCGCCAGGCACCGTAGCTCGACCCGTCGGGGTTGAAGTGCAGGACGCCGACCATCAGCCTCTCGGCCCAGGAGGGGTGAGTCCCAGTCTGGTGCAGTCCGGTCAGCTGGCTCACCAACGCCGAGGTCACCATGGCATCGACCCTGCTCTCCATGACCTCGCCAATGGTCGCAACCCTCTGGTACTCGCGCAGCGACGGAATCCACGCGGCCTCCCTCTCCAGGTAAGGGGGCCCGTAGTGGCGGGCAAGGCGCTCGTGCGACTGCGCGAGCCTGGGCTGCCGCGCGGCGTCGGTCTCGACCTCGGGCTCGGAGCTCCCGCTGTCGGAGGAGCCGTCGCTCTCTCGCACTCCCTGAGCGGGCTCCGCTGGCACAGGCATCTCCTTCAGGTCCTCCGCCATCTGCCCCAAGCTCCGCGGCAGGGGACGGCCCTGCACCGCTGTCTTCAGGAGCTCCGACTCGCACAGCTGGTGCTCCCGCCGAGCTGCCGGCGACGGCAGCGGCGCCACTGGCGGCAAAGGGGCAAGCTGCCACGGGCATCCCGCCTCCTGACCCTGGGCAGACGGCCCCAGGCCAGGCCTCAGGCGAGACGGCGCCGGCCGCCGCGTGCGCCGGCGTCCCGCCCCTGGCCTCGCGCCCTGTCTGGTCTGCAGGGGGCCGAGGCAGCGGCCGCGCCCGTCCGGCGCCCGCGGGCACACAGGCAGCATCGCGGGCCGCGGCGCCACCGGCTACCTTCTCAGGTGCGGACCAGGCGGGAACCCGCCCTGAGCCCGCCTGGGAGCCCTCGAGCTCCAACAGCTCAGCCAGAAGGGCGGACTCTGCGCCGTCAGGATCGAATAGCCGTGAGGGGAGGTCGGCACAGTTGAGCTCACTGGGTATCCAACGAACCGAACAACGAATATTTCGGCTCAGACAGACAGCGTGAAATCGACGAATCTGGACCAACAAGTTGAAACAGGAGCTCCTCCCTCGATTGAAGCTTAGCACGACCGACATATTGTCACAGAGCAGCAACTGACGTATGTGGGACCCAAACACCGTGGTGGCGATGCGATGTATGCTGCTGACCAGGGCTCGGGCCTCTAAGGTCAGGATGCCCTCAGGGTGCTGCCAGGCTCTTGCGAAGCAGGGCTCCCGCAGACCTGCGCGGAGCCCCCGGGCGGGCACCTCCGGGAAGTCCCTCACAACGTCCCACTGGCCCAGCTCCTCCTCATCTTCAGGAAGGCCCTTGAGTTCCCATTTTCCACTCTCGCTCATGCTGAAACCAGCTGCACAGAGCGCAGCCTCGCGGGCACTGTGCGCGCAGCGCCGGCGGAAGCGGGCTCGCTCAGGCACGCGCCCGACTGACTCCACCAGCTCCCGCGGCCAAAAGGCCCTTGCCAGTCCGTAGCCGTGAAGACTGGCATCTGACTGCTGCACCAAGGGATTCCAAGGTAGCCACCAATCTGATTCCAGGAAGTACATCAAAGAGCTGAAGGCCGTCAGCTCCTGCCGCGCCTCAGTCCATAGCACGGCCGTCTCGTCGTAGTGGGCTCACACGAAGCCGTAGACTGAATTGAAGGCTGACAAGGTGCCGCGCGAGCAGAGGCCACAAAAGGTTAGGTGGCCCAGCACTGCTTCCACGGCCCACCCCTTGACGCGGCGGCGGGCTAGGAGGCCTCGCACGGCCTGGCGGCAGCGCCAGAACCGATCACTGGTCACACGAGTGCGCAATTGGCCCCCGTCGATCTCCGTCCCCAGCGCTACTGCCTTGTCCGGCACCAGCTCGTCTTTGTGCAGCAGTGGGCTCAGCTTGGTGAACTCGCCTGTCAGCTGGTTCATCACGCCGCTCACGAGTTCAGAGAAGAGCGAGAAGACCCCCAAGTTATCAACATACACGTAGTGCCTGACTTCCTGGGACGCCCTGCCCGGCGCGAACACGAGCGGTGGCCCATGGTCTGAGAGACCGGGCCCCCGAAGGAGCGCGCTGCTGCGGCGGCTCACCTCCTCGTTGGCCCGCTGGGCGAAGTAGAGGGACCAGCTGAAGCCCATGGGCAGCGCCTGCCAGCAAGGGTAGATGGCCGTCGACGTCTGCACCTTGGTCCCCTCGACCTCGGTCACGCCGAAAGCCCCAGCCTTGACCGGCGGCAGGCAGAAGTACTGCGAGAGGGCCGAATCAATGCGCATCCTATGGAAGCAGTCCTTCACGTCCGCCATGCCGATGTACACCTGCTGCGCCTCCAGCGCGGCGCGGAGGTCCTCGTAGTTCGAGAAGCCCGCGTCTGGCACGTGCACCTCGATTCTGGCGAGGCCCTCGCTGCTCAAAAGCTCCACCCCAGGAGGGTCCTTGAAGTGGGCGTTCGTACGGCGGGCGTCGACTATGAGGCGAAGTCGGCGCCGCCCATCCTTCCACGCGAAAAACATCTCAATTCTCTCTTTCGGTGTTAGAGTCCATCCCAGAATGCCAGCCGACAGCAGCCGGCGCACCAGGCCGCGGTACTCCTTGTGGTTGAACTTGAGGACCGAGTCGAAGTATGGCTCGACGTCAGTCGGCAAGGGTGATTCTCGCAACATGCGCTCATGGCGCTCCTGCAGGAAAGTAAGGGCCTCGCCAGGCAAGAGGTCCTCTAGACGCGGGCAGTCGCTCACGTCCATCGGCATGCTGACGAGCCCTGCACTGTAGGAGGCGACCGTCGTCGGGCCACTGCGCCCGTCGTATGGCGAGCGGCCCCGCAGCAGCTCCCGGAGGGCCGCCTGCGGATCCTGCAACTTGGCGTCCGGCTGCCGGCCCCGAACGAGGCCCTCGAAGCGCGCAAGTACATCCCGCTGCATGTCATTGGCTGGGCCAGGAAACGAGTCGTACCCCGACATCCAGTTAACGGCATCGACGATGCCGTTGACCTCCGCCGCAATCCGATTCTCTCGGCCGAACTGCCTCGCCCTGCAAGACCTGCCGCGAATTCGGCGGCCAGCGTCGCCCAGCAGCGGGGGCGGCAGGAAGCTGCGGGCTCCGCGCGAGGGCGGCAGGCGGCCGCCGTCGTGCCCCGGCAAAAAGGGCCCGGGGGAGGGGCTGGTCCCCCCGGGCCCGGGGGCCGTCATGGCCCCGCGGAGGCGACGCCCCTGGCCCGGCCGCGCCCGCGGCCGCCTCGGCCGCCACCACGCCCCGCACCTGCTGCGTCGCCTCCAGCTCCTTCTGCTCCGCCGACGGTCCTAGTAGGCACCCCGCGTAGCGAACCTGCCCGACTCTGCGCCTGCTCCACCTCGTACGTCTTCTGCGCCCCCTGGTGGATGTAGCCCCTGAGCTCTGACCCCGAGACGTCCTTCTCCGAGCTCACGTCCGCGAAGATGTCCGCGTTCGTCCAGCTCGGCTTGAGCAGGTCTCCGTAGGCCTCCAGCGTGGCGGACCCGCGGTGAGTCATCTTCCCCACCATCATCAGGCCGCTCATGCTCGGCTGGACACGTAATAAGCCCTGGTACCAGGCCTCCACGATCGTCCTCAGCTTCTGCACCACCCAATCATTCTCCCCACGGCCCCTCACGCATACGGTGAGGTCGGGCTCGAGCCGCAGGTCGCCTCCGTGCCTCACCATGTGCTCGCGCATGTGGAGAGCCCACGGCGGTCTGCCCACCCGTGCGTCTGGGCGGCGCCCCTGCCTCGACTCGCCTACCACGTCTCGCCATCGTCTGTCCCGTCCGCCCTGCTCGTCGTAGAAGACCCCGAGCGTGCGGGCGAGGGCGTCACGTTGCTCACCCTGCGGCCCCGCCAGCAGCGGCTGCGCCAGCTCTGGCATAGCCGTGCCGCGTGGGGGCCCGGCGGGCTCCTCATCCTCGAGCGGCGCCGCGGCCGCAGTGCGTCGGCGCTCGGGGCCCTTGGCACGCGCCTGGCTCCTGCTTGGGCCATGCCTGAAAGCCTCCTCCTCTGCCAGGCGCCCAGCGTCCGACCCCGCGTCCAGCCGGCCGAGTCGCCCCGTGCCACCGTCGGCGGACCTCAGCACACCGAGCGCCTCAGGCCCGTCCTCGAAGCTCAGGCCTCCAGTCTTCGCCACGTCGACCTCCGCCCCGATCACATCGTCGGGCACGCCACTGCGGCCGACCCAGGCGTCACCCCCAGCAGGAGCCTCCAGCGGCGTCCCCGCCCGGCGAGCCACGGCCATGCTCAGGTACAGCAGGCCCCTCCGCTCCGCGGCCAGCCGCCTACCAGCGTCCTCCTGCCACGAGACCCGCTGGCCGCTCACGGCCCCGGCCTCCCTCGGCTCAGGCGACGCCGCCTCTACCTCCAGCGCCGCCTGACGGCCCCGCGTCAGCGTCTTGGCCCGATTCTCAGGCCCCAGCGCCTCTTCGAAGCGATACAGCCTCCGCATCCTGCCCATCCGCTGCGCCAGCGGGATGGGTCGGGCAGGCCAGGTCTCGGCCCTGCCGCAGCTCATGTCCTCCACGTAGATGTCAACCTCTGGGGACAGGATGACCCGTTCGCCCTCTGCCACGTAGTGCAGCTGCACCCATACGTCATCGACGTCGTCGCCGGCGAATCGGCAGACCCCAGGCTCCACTGAGAGCGCTCTAGTCCACCACCTCCGCCCCACGACGCTGAGGAGCCACCACACGAGCGTCGTCATGCCTGCGACCGGGAACTCCCACCAGCCAGTGCACCAGGCCTCCGGGCAGCACCCCAGTGAGCCTCCCAGCCGCCCTCTCGCCCGGCGTCGCCGCCGGTCGCCTCGCAGGCCGGGCGGGTCGCACCCGGCGGCGGCTCGCAGGCCGGGCAAGCCGCGCGGGGAGGCGGCTCGCAAGCCGGGCAGGCCGCGGCCTCTGGGCCAGCCGCCGCCTCTGGACACGCAGGACAGGCCGGGCACGAGGGTCAGGGCAGGCCGCCCGCGTCGGGCCCTCCTCTGCTCCAACGTAGGCCGCGGCCTCCAGCGCCACTACCACCCAGGCCAGCGGCGCGGCCGCCCCTCAGGGATGGCGCCCATCCATCGACTCTGGACCAGAGAAGCTATGCGATGCAAGAAGGAGCGGAGCCAAAGGGGCGACATAATGAAAACCCCTCTTGACTTCCTTCACGTGCAAGCACAAACCATCTCGCAACTCTGAGCTCTCAGATGCTGCGCAAAAGGTGGTCCAGCCTGGGGGCCCAGAAGACCACATGTTACATATCCCCCCTGGGACCCTGGGAACCCCAGGAGGCCCCAGAGAGCTTCAGAAGGCCGCAGGACGCCCAGGACAGGCCCCAGGGGTCCGCAGGAGATTCCCAGGAGGCTCCCAGGAGGCCCCCTATCAGAACGTGTCAAATTAATACACATCCGGTGTCGATTCGTTGATTTTTCCCATTTTGGGGGGCCCCGACGGCCACATGTTAGATATCCCCCCCTCGGAGCTCCAAGAGGCTTCAGGAAGCCCCATGTGGGGTCCAGGAGGCCACAGGAGGTCCAGGAGGAAGCCCCAGGAGGTCACCAGGAGGTCTCAGGAGGCCCCAGGAGGCCCCCGCAACTCGGAGCTGAGACGCCGCGCTCGAGGTGGTCTGGCCCGTTTCGCCTGAGACTTCCTCGCAGCACGTTTCGCCCGAGACACCGTCGCAACTCTGGGGTCCGAAATGCAGCGCGCGAGGTGGTCCAGCCCGTTACGCCTGAGACATCCTCGCAACTCTGGGCTCCGAGATGCCCTGCGCGAGGTGGTCCGGCCCGTCTCGCCTGAGACATCCTCGCAACTCTGAGCTCTGAGATGCCGTGCGCAAGGTGGTCCGGCCCGTTTCGCACAGGACATTCTCGCAACTCTGAGCTCTCAGATGCTGCGCAAGAGGTGGTCCAGCCTGGGGGCCCAGAAGACCACATGTTACATATCCCCCCTGGGACCCTGGGGGCCCCAGGAGGCCCCAGAGAGCTTCAGGAGGCCGCAGGACGCCCAGGACAGGCCCCAGGGGTCCGCAGGAGATTCCCAGGAGGCTCCCAGGAGGCCCCCTATCAGAACGTGTCAAATTAATACACATCCGGTGTCGATTCGTTGATTTTTCCTGCTCTTGTGGCCTCCCCCCCATTTTGGGGGGCCCCGACGGCCACATGTTAGATATCCCCCCCTCGGAGCTCCAAGAGGCTTCAGGAAGCCCCATGTGGGGTCCAGGAGGCCACAGGAGGTCCAGGAGGAAGCCCCAGGAGGTCACCAGGAGGTCCCAGGAAGCCCCAGGAGGCCCCCGCAACTCGGAGCTCTGAGACGCCGCGCTCGAGGTGGTCCGGCTCGTTTCGCCTGAGACTTCCTCGCAGCACGTTTCGCCCGAGACACCATCGCAACTCTGGGGTCCGAAATGCCGCGCGCGAGGTGGTCCAGCCCGTTACGCTGGAGACATCCTCGCAACTCTGGGCTCCGAGATGCCGTTCGGGATGAAGAGGAGGTGGATGAGGAGGATGAGGAGGGAGGAGGAGGGAGGAGGAGGAGGAGGAGGGAGGAGGAGGAGAGGAGGAGGAGGAGGAGGGAGGAGAGTAGGAGTAGGAGGAGGAGGAGGAGGAGGAGGAGGAGAGGAGGAGGAGGAGGAGGAGGAGGAGAAGGGGGAGGAGGAGGAGGAGGAGGAGGAGGAGGAGGAGGGGGAGGAGGCATGTTTAACATGCCATGCCAGCCCGCACTGGACGGGCACGCAAACGACCTTGGAAACCGCAGTGGGTCAAAAAACCCTGTTCGGGGATACTGCACTCCGGCTATATTTTTTTTGTTGGTAGCTGAGCCGCGATAGATTTTCGAGGCTGGGCCAAGCGGGGAGGCTGGGTCCATGGACAGGGCCAGCGGGGCGAGGGGGGCTGGGGCAACGACCAGGGGGGTAGGCTGGGTCCAGTGCCAGGACCAGGGGGGCGAGGGCGGCTGAGGACGGGTCAGGGAAGGAGGCTGGCTCTAGGACCACGACCGGGACCAGGGGGACGACGACGAACGAGAATAAAGGGACCGGCGCGAGGGGGGCTGGGTCCAGGGCCAAGGCCATGGGTACGACGACGAGCGAAAATGAAGGGTCCAGGGAGAGGGGGTCTGGGGACAGGGCCAGGGGAGGACGTTGGGTCCAAGGACAGGACAGGGTGGCGACGACGAGGGGGTCTGGGTCGAAGACCAGGGTGAAGGCCGGGTCGAGGGCCAGGACCAGGGGGACGACGACAAACGAAAATAAAGGGTTCGGGGCGAGCGGGGCCGGGACCAGGGCCAGGTGAGGAGGCTAGGTCTGGGGCCAAGTGCCGTGCCGAAAAAAAACGGTCGGGGCGGAAGGGGCGCGTTGGCTGGTGGGGCCAGCGCCGTGCCAAAATCAAGCTGTCGGGGCGGAGGGGGTGCGCTGGCTGGTGGGGCCGGCGCCGAAGGGGCACTCTGGCTGGCGGGCTGGCTGCGCTGGCTGGCGGGGGAAGGATGCGGAGGGCTGGGGGGGCTGCTTCGGCATGGCTGCTATAGAAAGTGGATGCGGAGGGGGCGCGCTGTGAGGCGCGGGCCGAGGGGCTGCATCGACCGGTGCCGTGACGAAACAAAGTCGTCGGAGCTCTCAGACACCCTGTGCAAGAGAATGACAAAGTCGGGGTGGACGGAGCGAGCTGGCTGGTGTTTTGGGGGGATGCGGAGGGGGCGCGCGGGATGAGGGAAGAGGGTGTCGTGCCGAAGTGGAAAGGTTGGGGCGGAGGAAGCGCGCTGGCTGGGGGGTGGGGGGATGGTGGTGTGGGCGCGGGGAGAGGGGTGGAGTGCCGCGCCAGAATGAAAGGATCGGGGCGGAGGGGCGCGCTGGCTGGCGGGTGGAGGGCGCAGGGGGGGGGGCACGCGGGATGGGGGGGGGCAGTGCCGAAATAAAAATGTCGGGGGGAAGGGGCGCGCTAGCTGGCGGGTGGGGGTGGGGGGGATGCGGAGGGGGCGTGCCGCGCTGACATAAAGGGGTCGGGGCGGAGGGGTGTGCCGCGCCGGAATAAAGGGGTCGGGGCGGAAGGGGGCGCTGGCTCGCGGGCGGGGGGGGCGCGGGGAGGGCGCGCGGGATTGGGGTGCGGGCCGGAATAAAAAAGTCGGGGCGGAGGGGGCGCGCTGGCTGGCGGGCAGGGGGATGGTGGTCTGGGTGGGCGGGGAAGGGGGGTGCCGTGCCGAAAGGAAAGGGTCGGGGCGGAGGGGGCGCGTTGGCTGGCGGGCGGGGGGGCGGTGGTCCTGATGGGTGAGGGGGGAGGCGCGCTGAAATAAAAATGTCGGGGCGGAGGAGGCGCGCTGGCTGGCGGGTGGGGGTGGTGCGGAGGGGGCGCGTGGGATGGGGGGGGCCGTGCCGAAATGCAAGGGTCGGGGCGGAGGGGGCGCGCTGGCTGGTGGGCGGGGGGACGGGGGCGCGCCGGGGTCGCGCTGGCTGGTGGAATGATTGGGCGATGGAGAGGGTGCCGTGCCGAGATAAAGTCGTCGGAGCTCTAGACACCCCGTGCAAGAGAATAAAGGAGTCGGATCGGAGGGGCGTGCCGTGCCGAAATAAAGGGGTCGGGGCGGCGGGGCGCGCTGGCTGGTGAGTAGGTGGGTGGGTAGTTGGGAGGGCGTGCTGAAATAAAAGGGTCGGGGCGGAGGGGCGCGCCGGCTGGCGCGCGGGGGGGCGCGGAGGGGGCGCGCGGCGAGGGAGTGGGGGCCGCGCCGATGCGAAAAGGGTCGCGGGGCGGGGGGGGGGCGCGCTGGCTGGCATGTGGGGGGATGCGTGTGTGTGTGTGTGTGTGTGTGTGGTGTTGTGTGCGTGTGTGTGTGTGTGTGTGTGCCGTGCTGATATAAAAAAGGTCGGGGAGGTGGGGCGTTGGCTGGTGGGTGGGTGGGTGGGTGGGTGGGTGGGGGGGTGGGGGGCGCGGAAGGGGGGATGCCGTGCCGAAATAACGAAGTCGGGGCGGGGGGCGCGCTGGCTGGTGGGTGGGGGGATGCGGAGGCGGCGTGCCGTGCCGAAATAAAAAATCGGTGCGGAGGGGCGTGCCGCGCCGAATCAAAGGCGTCGGGGCGGAGGGCGCGCTGGCTGGTGGGCGGGGGGGGGGATGCGGAAGGGATGTGCCGCGCCGAAATAAAAGGGTCGGGGCGGAAGGGGCGTGCCATGCTGAATTAAAAGAAGGTCGGGGCGGAAGGGGGGCGCGCGGGGGGGGCGGCGTGCCGAAGTAAAAGGGTCGGGGCGGAGGGTGCGCGCTTGGCTGGTGGGTGGGGGGATGCAGGAGGGGGTGCCTCGTCGAAATGCAGGGGTCGGGGCGGGGGGCGCGCTGGCCTGTGGGTGGGGGACTGCGGAGGGGGTGTACCGTGCCGGAATAAAAAAGTCGTGGTGGAGGGGGCGCGCTGGTTGGTGGGTGGGGGGATGCGGAGGCGGTGTGCCGTGCCGAAGTAAAGGGGTCGGGGCGGAGGGGTGTGCCGTGCCGGAATTAAGGGGTCGGGGCGGAGGGGCGCGCTGGCTGGTGGGTGGGAGGGATGCGGAGGGGGTGTGCTGTGCCGAAAAAAAATCGGGGCGGAAGGGTGTGCCGTGCCGAAATTAAAGGGTCGCGGCGGAGGGGCGCGCTGGCTGGTGGGTGGAGGGGGTGCGGAGGGGGTGTTGAGGGGGGCAACCGTGCCGAAATACAAGGGTCGGGGCGGAGCGAGATAAGAGGGGTTGGGGCGGAGGGGCGCGCTGGCTGGTGGAATATGCGGGTGATGGAGGGGGTGCCGTGCCGAAGTACAGTGGTCGGAGCTCTAGACACCCTGTGTAGGATAAGAACTTCCCAGACAGCTCTCTGGTAGCGTGATGCAACTTCAGAGCCTCTGGAGACTCTCGGGCCCATGATGATGAACCATGTCCCCGAAAACTTTCTGGGGACATGATTTGTTGGGGTGCGTTGGGGGGCCTCTTGGGCGTTCCCTCGGGGCCCCTTGGGGGCCTCTTGGGGCTTTCTGGGGGCCCCATGGGGGCCTCGCGGGGCGTCTTGGGAGCCTCTTGGTGGCCTCCGGGGGCCTTCTGGGGGCCTCTGGGGCCATAGGCCTCGAAATATCAGTTCGTGGTTCCTCTCTGGGCCCTCTCGTGGGGCGCTCTTGGGGCGCGCTTGGGTTGTTTGGGAGCCTTCTGGGCCGTCCTGGGTCCCTCTTCGAGGTCTCGTGGGCCGTCTTGGAGCGATCTGAAGGGCCTCCGAGGCCGTGAGGGAGCGCTGGGAAGCGGGATAAGCGAGAAGTCATTTTTTTGGCCGGAAAACATATCGCCCCCCCCCGTGTGTGTGTGTGTGTGTGTGTGTGTGTGTGTGTGTGTGTGAATAAGCGAGAAGTCCAAAATACTTAGACAACTCACGGAAAATGTACGAATTGTGTCTCTCAAGGCCCCCTTGGGGAGCCTCTTGATGCCGTCCTGGAGCGCGTTGCAGTCCTCGTCGGCCGTCTTGAGGGCATCTTGGGCGTTTTCGGGGCCTCTCGGGGCCGTCTTGTGCCCTTTTAGGACCGCCTTAGCCTGTCGTGGCCCGTTTCGGGGCGGGCCCCGGCTCTCGGACACCCCCAAGAAACCAAGGGGGCGCCCGTTGAGGGACGGCGCAGGCACTGGCCTGCCGCCCCCCTGGCCGACTCCGATCTCTCTCTCTCTCTCTCTCTATATATATATATATGTATAAAACGTACACAGTTACATACATACATACATGCACACATACATACATACATACATCCATCCATCCATCCATCCATACATCCATCCATCCATCCATACATACATACACATAGACATACACATGCACACATACACACATACACACATACACACATACACACATACACATACATACATACATACATACATACATGTATGCATGCATACATACATACATACATACATACATACATACATACATACATACATACATACATACACACATTCAAACATACATGCGCACATCCATGCAGTGACACAACCACACATTTATGTATGTAAACATATCGGTATGTACATACATGCACATGTTTGTGTCCATATATATATATACACGTACATATGAGCATACATCCATCCACCCATCCGTTCATACACATGCGTACATTCTCACATCCATGCATACATACACACATGTACACATACATACATGCACATATATACATACATACATGCATGCATGCATACGCACACACGTATATGTATATGTAAATGTACATGTAGAGAGGTGGAGGAGGAGGAGGAGGAGGAGGAGGAGGAGGAGGAGGAGGAGGAGGAGGAGGAGGAGGAGGAGGAGGAGGAGGAGGGAGGAGGGAGGAACCAGGGAAGAGGGAGGAGGAGGAGGAGGAGGCCGAAACCCTTCGGAAAAAAACCCTCCAGCTGGAGCTGACCTGAACCCAAAGTGGCTCGGTGCACGCGGACAGCGCCGTCGCCGTGGCCGTCGTCGTCGTTTGCCGATTTGCGGCGTCAACTGTTGTCATCGTCGTCGATCGTCGTCGTCGTGGGTCGTCGCCGTCGACGACCGTCGTCGTCATCATCAGTCACCGTCGCCGATCACCGTCGCCGATCGTCGATCGCCTTCGAGCCCTCCCCCCCCGCTCCTCCTCCCCTCCTCTTCCTCCTCCTCCTCCTCCTCCTCCTCCTCCTCCTCCCCCAGAAATCATGTTCCCAGAGAGGCTTCCGGGGACAGGATTGTTATTATTATTAGGCGCCGATGGGAGCAGCGCGCATGGAACCTGTCTTACGCAAACAACTGCTGGCATGCATTGCAATCACTATACGTCAGGCGTGTTCAGGCGTGTTCAACCCAGCGGGTGGGCCTGCCTCGAACCCGCCTAGTCCCGAGGCGGCCCGTGCCCTTGCCGCGGAGAAAGTTCTCCGTCCTGGTAATCTCACGAGCCGTCGCCAGGCCGTCCGCTGCCGCAAGCGCCCTGGCAGCTGGCGTGCGCCAGTGCCTCAGGAGATGGGCGCGCCACGTCCCCGACAGGACCTGCCATCGCTCGCCCCATGGGCCCCCGTGGTCGGAGATCAATTCGCTGATGCCCTTGTGGTACGCCTTCGCTGCCTCCGCGGGGGTCGGTTGCTCTCCCGGGGGCGCGCGGACGGGCCCGTGCAGCATGCCGACCATCTTCCGCTGGGCCGCGTCCAACCGCTTCCGCAGCGTCGGCGCGGGCGCTATCGGCGGAAGGCGGTAACGGAACCCCGCCCACACTGCCCGGGTCATGTTCCGCATGGCCAACCGCACAGGAAGCCGGCCAGCACTGCGCACCCTCTGCCTCCAGAAGCTCTTCCACGCCTTGGCGACGGCACCGTCGAGCATGGCCTGGTGCGACCCGTCGACGTGGATCATGAAGCCAAGAGCATCCAGGCAAACCGTCCTCACCTCCCACTCGCCGAGCTGCTTCTCGTTCGGAGAATCCAATAGGGACGGATGGACTAGTATCTGGCGGGAGGAGGGCTTCAGCTCCAGCTTCCAGTGCTTCTGCAAGCTCGACCCGACGGTTCGCATCAGCTCTATGGCTTGCTGGGGGTCTGCGCCGACTGCATAGCAATTATCTGCCCAGAAAGCCGGCAGCACCTGCACCGGGGCGGCAGGCGGACCGAGGGTGGCAGAGAGCCGTTCAGAAGCAGCACTGGTGTCGCCGAGAACGTGCACCACGGGCACGCGGGAGCACAGGCCCGCGCTTTTGCTGCCAGTCAGGAGGCCTCTCGTGCGTTGGCCCACCGACCCAGCCTCGCCCATGATGGCAAGGGACACGTCTGGGCAAAGATGGAGCCTGGCGAGCGCGACTCCAACGGCGACGTCGGCGCCCCAAGAGGTCAGGCACGCTGCCACGCGCAAAGGCTCCACGTTGTCATAATACGCCTTGATGTCGCCTGCGATCACTGTGTGCTTGGTGGACAGATCCGCCGCGGCCTCCGCGACGAGCTGTAGCGGGAAGACCACGTCTAAACACTGTCGGCCTTTTTGGAGTTCCCGGGGGCCCTGTCCGAGACTCCGAGGCCATCGGCAACGCTATCCACCAGAGGCCCAGCCATGTCTATCAGCAGCAGGTGCATCGGCTGCAGAAGGACCGGCTGCGGCAGCAGTGCTCGGAGGTCGTTGAGGGCTGGGGCGCTGGTGGTCTTCGACTTGAGCACCCCTTGTATCTGCGCCCTGGCTAGGAGGGACGGAATTGAGCAAGTCCGTCAGGAGTTTGGCAATCGGCCTCGGCCTGGCCTGGAAGGCAAGCTGGAAAGCCCGCGCGGCCACGCCGTACCCGTCACACACGGCCTTGCTCTTCATGTTACTGACAGCGTCCGCCCACTGCTCCATGGATGGGGCCACAAGGGGCCACTCCGCATCCACGAATGCCTGGGCCGCGGCCGCCGCCTCCGAAGCAAGATCGCCCGCTGCAGTCCATTTCTGGTGGAAATGCCGCAAGGCCTCCTCGCGGCAGACTGCTGGATCGATCTCGACGCGCGGGCTTCCCTCTGGCCCGAGCAGCAGGGCCTCGACTCGAGAAAGGGCCGTCGAGGATGCCACCACGCCGCCAGAGCATATCCGCAGGCGCTGCGCGGCTTGCTTCCTCTGCGTGAAGCGCTGCTGGAGGGCGTGCCATAGCTCGCGCTGCCGAGCGCCGCGGCTCGCAGCGTCTGGGGCCTCCCGAACCCTTCGCCGAAGCGCTTTGACGAGGAAAGGCTCTCGGTCTGCGCGTCGCTGCTTCCGGGAAGCCGCGTCCCGGAAGGCTCCCCTTGCTACTCGGATCTTTCCGACTAACTCTCCATGGTCCCGAAGCTGATCTGGGCACCTCGCCGCGAAGAAACTCATGAAGCCCTGCTCGTTGGAGCACCGCCACACTTGCTGCTGGCGACGAGCCCGGGTAAGAACTGGCAGGGCTGTGTCGAGGGCCAGCGCCGCATGATCTGCCACGGCTGTGGCCCACTGGAGAGAAACTTTTAAAAGAAGACGCGGTGAATGCGCACATGCATCTATCAGTGAGGGGAACTGGAACAGCTCCTGGTCCCCCCCCGGCAACCGGCTGGCCACCGTGTACCCTTGCGCGCGGACGTGCTCGGGCAGGCTGCGGGCTTCCGTCGGAATGGCCCCCGCGAGGTCGACCGTCTCAAGCCATAGTCTAAAGCTATTGAGCCTTTGGGAGTCGCGCCTGGAGGGCGTGGGATGGGAGGGCGGTGCAAGATGCCGGTGTTCAGCGGCACGGAGAAAGTCGATATTGAGGTCCCCCGCCACAATATAGATATCGCGTCTCCCTCGGGCTGGTGGTAAAGCTGCACTGAGAGCGTCCAACTGCTCATCTAATTCAAGGCTTCCGTGAGGAAAGTGACAAAATATACAATGCGCCCAATAACTAAGGGAATCGGGCGGCCCAGCCTGCAGCGAGACCACAATGCATCGGCGCGCAGCCCGGATCGCCTTCACAGACCTCGCCGCAGAACGCCGGGCGATGATCAGCTGCGCACGGAAACCCGGCCCAGGCCAGATGCGGTAACACGTGAAGACCGCTGAATTCAGATAGGGGGTCGCCTCGGATCCTAGGCGATTGCACGCATCAGCTTCTGAAGCGTGAAGTAAGCCCCAATCTTTCCATGCAAGTGAGACCGCCTCCACGAACGCAAGGATGCCCGTCTTGGAGTTCAGGGCAGCCCCCGCGTTGAGGGAGACGATTTTGAGGCGCGAGAGGTACTCTCAGGCGTTGCTGGCGAAGGCAGCCCCCTCGTCCAGCACCGTGGCGTCGTAACGGCACCGCGCCTTCACCGACCAAGCCCACGTGACGGTGCCCTGGTTGACGGTCCCGATGCGACCGAAGCCTTGGATGGAGACAGACTTGGACCTCTGGCAAACCTGAACATTCTCCGTGCTGTAGCCGTCCTCGCGGTAGGACTCCACCTCCTGGATGAAATCAGCCATCTTCCGCGCCATCCTGGATGGCTTCAGCTCCTCCTTGGACTTCCGGGGAGCTAGCCAAACCGGCTTGGGCTTGCCCTCCACCGTGCTGAAAGACTTCTCCAAGTCCTCCACCTTCTTCGCGGCTTCCCGAAGCAACTGCGGCGTCCCAAACTCGAGCTCTGCTGCCGAGCCTGAACCCCGGAAAGAAGCTTTCAGATTATTGTAGGACTCCCCCGGGACGCGAGCCGATTCCAGGACGGTCTCGGCTCGCTCCACGATCGTGTCCGGGGTGTCGTCCCAGCCAAGGTTACCGAGCATGGCCTGCGTACGCTGGGACCGCGGCGTGGTGTGCGGCCTCTCCTCAGCAATGTGGGGCGGACCGGACTGGGGGACAGCGACCGTCCGCTGCAGCAGCTTGATGTCCGTGTCAGCCTGGTCGCAGCGCCCGTTGATCTTCACGAGCTCGGCGTCCACGATACTCCTGCTCTCCTGGAGCTCGGCGACCTGCGCCTGGGTGCTCTGTAGATCCTGGCTGATCTTACCCATCGAGGTGTGGGGGTTCGTGGACATATCCAGCATGGCCTGCTGGCGCTGCTCCGTCTTCGCTTCGAAACCACTGAATAAATCACGAAAGTACTGCATCTGCCGCTCCCCGAGAGCCGGGGGGGCTTCAACGGGCGGCCGGCTCCTGTTCGAAGGGGCTGGCGAATGGCACGGCTCGGTCGAGGGGGGCGAGCTTGCCGAACCAACATCGGCGAGGTCCCCGTTCATGTCCCGCGGCTGCAGGTCGTCAAAGCCGCAGTCGTCGGCGTCCCCGCTTTCCACATCGACGCGGGTATACTTGCTCCCAGCCTGGCCGCTGAGAGGGGTCCCCGCCTTCCTGGTCCGCCGACCCCTCATGGGGGTAGCAGGGTGAAGACGACCTGGGCTCGGGGTCCCTGCTGCCTTCTTCAGGCCGAGCGCTGCCCAGGCGGCCGGGGTGGACACTGGCTTGGCTGGTGAAGCTGCCTCGACCCTCCCTCCTCCGCCTCCTGCTCCAAGATAGCCATGTCCACCACCCGGAGGAACGCTCGCAACTGCTCCCTCAAGGCCCGGAGGTGTTGCAGACTGCCCAGCGCTGCCTGGAGAAGCTGCCGCGCCCACATGGGCAGCCGGGCTCGTTCCATGAGCCGGGGCCGCCCCCCCCGGTGCGCTCGACGACGAACCTGCGGGCCACGGCCAGGGGACCTGCTGCGCCGGTCCTGCTGCATGGCATCATGCGCGGCAAGGACTGGAAGCTGGAGCGGCGGGCAACCCTGGGCGAATCCGCTCGCAGGGAAGGTACTTTCCTAGCCTAGTCAGGGCGGAACCGCTCGCTGACTTGCTGACTTGCTTGCTTGCTTGCTTGATTGCTTGCTTGCTTGCTTGCTTGCAGGATTTCGAACGACGCGGAAAAGACTGAGCCCAGGGTGGCTCTGCGCACGCGGACAGCGTCGCCGCCGTAGGCGCGGCCGTCGTCGTCGTCGCCGTCGATCGTCGATCGGCGGCGTCGACTGTTGTCATCGTCGTCGATCGTCGTCGTCGTCGGTCGTCGATCGTCGTCGTCGTCGTCTTTGTCAATCACCGTCGCCGGTTGTCGATCGCCCTCGAGCCTCCTCCTCTCCCCCCCTCCTCCCCTCCACTCCTTCTCCCCGCCTCCTCCTCCTTCTCCTCTTCCTCTTCCTCCTCCCCCTCCTCCTCTCCCTCCGCCCTCTCCGTCTCCTCCGCGCGAAGAAATCCAGCGACATCTCGCGCAAATCAACGAACTGTGACCCTCCGGGCATTTTTTGATTTTCTTTTAGGGCCCTCGTGGGGCCGTCCCCGTCGCCGCAGCAGCCGCGAGGGCGGGCGGTCTCGATTTTGACCTCTTCAACCTGGGCCTCCGGGCTCCCGAGCAGCCTGCGGAGGACGCGGGGTGTCTCCTTCCTAGCCTCCTCCTCCTCCTCCTCCTCCTCCTCCTCTTCCTCCTCCTCCTCCTCCTCGAGCGCTGTAGGGCAGGAGGCGGGGCGCAGAAATGGCGTGGCCGAGGCTCTCGATGAGCTGTGTGGCGCTATGCTGTTTAGCAGGAGAGGCACGACGAGAAGGTAAAGGAGGAAGAGTAGGAAGGAGGAGAAGGACGAGGACGAGGACGACAAGGAGGACGAGGAGGACGCTGGTCAACGTTGTCGCTGACCCGTCGCGCCCCTTCGCGCCCTGGCTGCATGCTGGAGAGCGGGAACTTGAGATCCGCAAGAAGCAGATTAACTTGATGGCGACGCCAATGGGGGGCGCCGTCGACTACAAAGCCAAGGCTAAGGCGAAAGCAAAGGCCGGCGGCGGCAAGAGGAGGAAGGACTCGTCGGCGGCTGGCTCTGAGACTGGGGCCGAGACCGAGGCCAGCGACGCCGAGTCCTCGGAGTCGAGGTCGAAGCAGGCCCGACAAGTGCCGCGCCTGGAGCAGTTTGCCCCAGTGGCCCCACTCGCGCCAGTCGACGAGGAACCCGAATATGAGGAGGAGAACAAGGAGGGCAACGATGCCGAGGGTGCCCCCGCGGATATGGAGGTGGAGGCGGAGGCGGCCGAGGAGGCGGGGGGGTAGAGCCCGCGTCCAAGTCCAGGTCCAAGCCCAACAAGGGCATGAGCCAGGGGGCCGAGGGCAAAGGCAGCAAAGGCAAAGGCAAAGGCAAGGAGGCAAGGGGTCCAAGGAGGGCAAGGGCAAGAAGGGCAGGATGGCAGCAGCCAGTGGGGGCCCAATTCCAACTTTGGAAATGCTGACGACTGAGACTTTCACTGCCATGACGGGCAAAGGGCGGGAGAAACTGCGGGGCGACGACGCGTGGTCGGCGCTCATGGGGGCGTTCGAGGTTGCCTCGGTGAAGTGCAACGTGCCGATGTCCATGCTGATGAACGCGGTTGACGCGCCGAACCCCATCGAGAACCTGCGCTGCATCATCGCATTCTCGTTCGCGAAGACAGCCGCGCTGTCCAACAGCGCGCCGTGCAGCAGTTGGTCTGATTTGCGCGAGGGTCGCCGCGATGACTTCGTCAAGGCCAACGGTCACGTGCTCGTTCAATACGGCTGCGACCTGGCCGCCCACCTCATCAGCCAGCCAACAGAGTCACCGCTGCAGCAGAGTGCAGAGGAGGCCGCCGTGCCCGCTCAGATGATTCTGTCGACTATCGTGGGTCTCCTCGACTCTGACGCGCCGCCGATTCTCCTCCAGGGCGGCGCCGGCGCCGGCTGTGACGACGCCGAAGACATGGGGGCTGTTGCCCGGGAGCTGCAGAAGCTGGAGGTCCTCCTTTCCGATTCCACGTCCATGCTGAAGCTTGCTCAGTTCGTTTCGGTGAACCCTCTGTCCTCCGACATCATGTCGCACTCGGCGCGATCGCAGTTCGCCGAGCAGGCTGCATGGAGTGAATGGGGAGGATGGAGGGGGGCAGGAGGGGGGGGAGGGGCCTGAGGAGGAGGGGAAGGAAGAGGAAGGGGGGAGGACGAGGAGGAGGAGGGGGAGGAGGAGGAGGAGGAGGAGGAGGAGGAGGAGGAGGAGGAGGAGGAGGGGGGAGGAGGAGGAAGGAGGAGGAGGAGGAGGAGGAGAGGAGGAGGGAGGAGGAGGGAGGAGGAGGAGGGAGAGGAGGAGGAGGGAGGAGGAGGAGGAGGGGGAGGAGGGGGAGGAGGAGTGGGAGAGGCAGGAGAAGGTGGATGAGAAGGAGGGGGGGGGGGGGAGGACGGGGAGGATGGACGAGGAGGAAGAAGGAAGGAGAGGGAAATATGGGAAGAGGGGGGGCGAGGAGGAGGAGTAGGGGGAGGTTTTACTTCTTACTCGCGCGCAGCTCAGGGGCTCAGGGGAATGCCAGCTCGCGCGTAACAGTTGGCCTCGAGGCGCCCTCGTGGCCTCGAGTTGGCCTCGAGGTTTGGCCGCTCCGCCTGCGAGGTCAAAGAGCTGGCGCGCGCGCGCGCCGGGCCGAGGTGGGAGAGAGGAGGCGTGATAGCCTGGGTGGTCTCAACCAGGATGACCAGGGACTGCGCGTGGAAACGGAGCTAGTGAACCACGCGTGGTCGGCGCTGACAGTGGACCTGTTGTCTACAGAGTGCGTCGAGTTAGCGGCGATGATTGGGGCATATTCTTGACGCTTCGCGCAGCCGCGCGACCCCGCCAGCCCGCCCAGCAACGACCCGCGCGGGGGCTGAGAAACAAGAAACAAGGGGCGGGATAAATTGAAGCCGCATCGCATAACCACTCGCGACCAGGAGGCGGCAGGTGGATTACTTCACGCATTGCAGTTCTCCGTCTCACGTCGGGCAAGCGGTCGAGGCGGTGACGAGCGTCTTCCAGGGCCAGGGCGAGTGCCTGGTCACGACACGCCTCCCCATCATGTACATTATCAACGCTCTGGACTCGATCAAAGACGACGTGGAGCAGGACGCGGCCGACTATTTGTTCTGCAGGAAGGCTTTGGATGCGCTCGGAGACACCAGGGGCGCGCAGAATCAGCGCGTGGCAGATCTCTCGCGCGTCCTGATCGCCAGCCCGTCTGACGAGGACTGGTGACCCTTTTTGGTGAAGATTCTGCGGGCCAAGACCGTGGGCGAGCTGGCCGACCTGATCGCCTCTTGCTTGGATCGCCAGATGCGCGGCGAGCGCCTCTTCGCGACCCCGAGCAGCAAGGGCCAGGGCACCGTCGGCACCCCGCCGCCGCCGAACGCCGCGGAGTCACAGTCACCACCGCCGCCGAAGGTGAAGGAGGAGGATTCGCCAGAGACGCAGCAGTCCGACGCGCCCAAGACACCTACTGCTGCCCTGGCCCAGGCCGCTGCCAACCCGCTCGACGGCTGCGTTGACGTCCTCCAGGAGATGGAGGTCGCAAGCCACCCCGCGATGGGCCCCTTTCGCACCCGCGCCCTGGTCGTAGCAATTGAGACGTTCTTGGCCGCGCATCGCATGCCGGGCGGATCGCAGTGGGTCGACCAAGGGTTGACGCGCTGCAAACCCAAGCCCGACGAGAATAATAGCAACGTCTCGCGCCTGTGGTACGACGGCAGGAGGAGCCAGCAGCTGCGCTTGAACTTGCACGGCCGCGTTCGATCACTCCGATTGCGAGTTCTGTGGAGGTGGCAGAGTTCCAGGGCTTGAAGTTCTTCGTTTATGGCAAGGGCAGCAAATCGCCGTTGTCGCCATCTTGCGTGCCGGCGTGGATGGTGCAGGAGGAGCGGGACCCCTTGAAGTGCAACCTGATTGTCGAGTCTCGCGAGGCTTCTGTCGAGCACAAGGTGGGCTCGGGCGACGCGGGGGTGCACGGGATTCAGGCTCGATCCAACGGCGACGGAAGAGGGGGGAGAGGGGGTGGAGAGGAGAAGGAGGAGAGAGGGAGGAGGGGAAGGATCTCAGGAGGAGACCGAGGCTACTCCTATTTGCCTATTTGTCTCATCCTCCTCTCGTTCTTTCTTCCGCTTTCCTCCTTCTCCTCCTCCTCATCATCATTTTCCCCTCTCCTCCTGCACTTGGTCACCGTCTACTGCTTCCGCCCCGACGCGTTCCTCATGAACTCCAGTGGCCCTGTCCAGTTGCTTCGCCCTGCAAGCGGCCCCTTCCTCGGCGCCGCCGAGGCGGAAAAGGGAAGGGGATAAAAAAAAACAACGCAAACCTATTGTTTCAACAATTTCGCCTGCTTCGGCCATCTGGGAGTTCACCCGAGATCGCTCTCGCCCCCCCGCCCTGCCCCTCCCCCCTGCCCGCCGGCGCCTGTGAGCCACTCGGGCCGCCCGAGCTGCTCGGCGCCCCGCTCGCCGCGCCCGCCGCCGCGGATGGCCAGGGCCGGTGGCCAGGGGGCAGGGGAAGGGGCGGGGCGAGTTTCCTCCTGGTGGAGGAGGACGAGGACGAGGACGCCGAGGAGGAGGAGGAGGAGGAGGAGTCCTTAGGAGGAGGATGAGGAGGGGTAAGTAAGGAGGAGGAGGAGGGGGAGGAGGAGGAGGAGGAGGTCGACAAGCGGGCCCCGGAACGCCCTGAGGCCAGCATGAGCGGTTGGCGCCGAGGCGCCCGGAGACAGGAGGAGGGGGTAGAGGCGGCGGAACCAGAAGAGGAAGAGGAGAAGCGGCCGTGGCACGGAGGAGCACGTAGAGGCTGAGGAGGAGGAGGATGAGGCGGAGGCAGAAACAACAACTACGTTG